ATAGTAGCCCCCCCCCCAGACATTGTATTGTGACCTGGTAAGGCAGAGCTGGTGTGCAGTGATCATGGAACAATGACTTTCAGGGAGGGGTCAACTGCTTTACAAGACATTCTGACCCCAGTGTCAAAGTAAGTTTCCTGTGTAGAAAATCTTCAATTTGTAGGAGTAAGGCCTACTAAAAAGTCCTTTTCATCACTCATCTGTGACAGCCATCTGGAGACAGGTTGGTTTTACGTGGCGGCTCCACTGACCGTTCTGTGCTGGAGTCGCATGTTGACTTGTTCTGCTGTAGCAAAACCAACTTGATTTGTTGATGATCTTTTCCCATCATATTTCTTTTTCTCTTTCAGAAACCTAAGGCAAGGGAATGGCACCCTCCGGGAGGATTTATCCTTGGACTCTGGGCTTTGATCCTTCTCATTTTCTTCAAGACATATGGCATTAAGCATATGAAGCATATTTTCTAAGCCCTTCGGCGCCATTACAAGTACTACTGAAGCTCAGGAATATTCCGCGCTGGTGTCGCTGCAAACCGTGCTGTATATTTGCTGCTAATTTGTTCACTAACTAAGTATTTATAGACTGGGACTGGCCGAAAATCAACACAATTTACTACAGTGAAAGCTGGTTTATGCCATACAGAGGAGGCATTTTTTCTCTTGTTCAACAACAAGCAAATAGTAACGAAGTACTGCCAAAGGCTTAGCAGAATTTTATCATGTAAACCTACTTGGAGGTTGACTGTCAGGATCTAAATACAGGAGCTGCCATTGCTGACTTGTTTTTGATTAGGCAGGTTACAGATCTGTCATCCTTATCTTTAGTTATTGCAGCCGTTGAAGGTGTCAGCACATCTGAAATTTTCATACTTTCTAGGCAGGTGACTTTGTAGTACAACCAGGGCTCAGATGATGGCCGTGAATCTGGCCCCTTAAGAAACTAGTCAACATTAGTAGCTCCCATATATTTATACACTGGCTGGTCCCATTTAAAGTGCACCTGTTGAGAAAACAGTGACTTGTGTAGTAAGACAGAAAGTTAATCATGGTTTTTTTTGTCATGTAGGTTTTAAGTTGAATTTGTCTCCATGAAAAAAAAAGTTTTAAACTTCTGCAGATTGAATAATGTTAAATATTTTTGGTCTTTTAAAGAGCTCCGGGCACCACTGTTAACAGTTCCGTGTGTCTGTGGGATAGCTTTCCCCCCTTTCAGTGTTGTGGTTCCTCCTGCCAGCTGCTACATCACTGCTGAACACAGTAGCGGTCTAATAGTCAGTGGGAAGACCCACAGTGTCCAACGGGGGGAAATTCTATCTGTCACAGTTGGAAGTGACTGATTGCAAGGGTGCCTGGAGCTCTTCAAGAGAGCAAAGATTCAACACACTGCCCTCTGAAAAGGTAAGGGCCGGTGCACACCTGGGCGATATGTGACAGTGCGGACTGCAGCGCGGGCACAGAGTTGCCCATCACCGACTATCGCGCTGTGGGTGCCAGTATACTAATGGCACCCCAGTGGCGCCAAAAACAGCCACTATTCGTTTGTCACAAAAAAAAGGTACATGTACCTTTTTTCTGCAATTAGCCGCACGGATGTCACCCCATTAAATTCAATGGGTCAGCAAGGCAATCGCTGTCTGCAATTGTGCACGACCGCGCAATCTGGATCGCTCAGGTCTGCACCGGCCCTAAGTCTAGAACTTCCTTTTTTTTTTCTTTTTTTTTTACAGGCTGCCTTTGATATATTTCCATTGAGAAAGGGTCACTTGTTAAATATATATGAAGTCATACAGTGTAAATGGTGCCTTGACATTCAATAGCAATAGCCCACTATATGCTGACTCTTAGGTCACGGGAGAACATTTGAATAGGTCCTCCTGTGACCCTAAAGAGAACTATGGGGAAAAACAGGTTGGGCCATAGTTCTCTTTTAAGAGGAGCAGCATTAGGATCTTATTTTGTTGGAAGGAAGGCTGCTTTAAGTTAAGATTTATTTTCTACTTTTCTGAATGTTTCCAAACTCCTGCTCTGCCAGATTGAGAGCTTGTTCAGCAGAAACAAAAATAGAACTATTGATTTATCATGCTAAGTACAGCGTTTCTGATCAATCCAGAAGCGAGGGTAATTATGTATCTAGAAACTGGTGAGCAATTAGGATTTAAAGCAAGACTTAGCCACCCGTGAAAAACCTAATTTGATTTATTTGCTGTGCATCAACCCAGAATGTCCGGCTTATTTTGCCTCATCCAGCATTTTACCCTTTCTTTTTTTTCCTTGTGCGAGTTATAAAGTTATATGCGGAACTGTGATGGTTTCCAGTGCAAACGGTGCACTTTGTAAAACATAGCAGGTGAATGGAGCTGCTTATTAAGCAGGGAGCAGGCAGGGAGCAAGGACAAGACTCAAGGGCACAATCTGATACCGCTGTATAAATTCTCACCCACGCACAGACATTTCATTTGGGCAAACTGTCACCTGCACAATAAAATTGTCTGTCAGTCTTACTTATGGGCCCTTGCCTAAAGAGAACCGGTTAGGTGAATAAAGTTTACAAATTACATGCCACCCTGAAACTATCCTTTTGCTGCTTAGTTCTGTAAATGTGTAAGACAGGACGCTTTAGTGTCAGCAACAGGAAGATTCCTTGAACATGGTGTGCTGGTGATATCTTGAATTCTTGAATTTGGCTTATGTTGTGGAGGTGCTATCCTCCATTTCACCATAGCACCCTTTTATGATTGGATCTGCATGCTGTATAGGCTGCATTGGATTATGCAAAGAAGTACGGATGTTCAGATACCATGCCGATACTTGGCATGTTCACAAGAACTACCAGGGATGCAGGTGCGCGACCCTGGCGCTCCACCACTGTCCTGAAGTCTGTATTGTTCTAGAAAAACATGACGCGAAACAAAAATGTATCAGTGCTTGGTCTAAAAATGTATCAGTAATTGGTATCTGTGAGTACTTGGACAAGTATCGGTACTTGGTCTGGAAAAATGATATCGTGCATCCCTAACACATTATATTTATATATATACAAATCATACATTCAAACAGGGATGCACAAATCCCAGAAGCTCTGTATGCTGCTTTTAAAAATGGCAGCTGCCACCCAACTTTTTTGAGTTTTTCCTCTAGTCTAGTCTTGGAGCTGGAAAAGTATCCGTACATGTACTTGTACCGAGTACGGTACTTGGTATCTGAACATCCCTACAACAAAGCCAATCACATTTAAAATCCTAACTCTTCCATTCTCAAAAAAAAGTAAAAAATATAAAATGCAACTTTCTTTGCAACACTTCTCTCCAACTCTGTCCCTTGTAGACTCATCACTCTGAGGCCCAGCTCTGGTTCTCCTCTGGGTTACATGATGCCCAGCGTCATCATGCTTGACATGGGCTCTCTTGTATAATATGGTGTTTACACGTCACACACTCCGATTCACCTCCAGTTCTGCCCATCATAATAAATGACCGATAGCTGTTGAGGATTCTGTTCCAGTACAACTGATCGATTTTCCCATACCAGAATGTGGCCAGGATTCTTGGCACCACGGTATGCTCCTATAGCAGGGATAAGCAATCTGGGAACTCTAGCTGTTGTAGAACTGCACACTGGGTATTTCAAGACTCTGGCAGCTACAAGCATGACTCTGAGGCAGAAGCATTATGGGAATTGTAGTTTCACCACAGCTGGAGTGCTGAGGTTGCCTACCCTTGCTCTATAGGCTGAAACTAAGTTGTGGGTTACAGCACATTAGTTTGTGCGCTACAAGACTTTATTAAGTCAGAGAAGTGTATGTATGTGCTTCTTGTAAATTCTCAACAATCTATAAAACTTTGTGATTGATGTTTGTGTAGTTTTTTTTCTTGAAATAAATTATGATTTCATTTATTGTTGATATTCCGTGTTAAATGACTGTATATTTATGTGGTATTTGTTTTAATGACTGGCTAAAAGATAACTATAAGCAGAGCAAATATTTTATAATATGCCCAACACATGAACAACTTTGCCATTTACCTTATTCAATAAATATTGATTGCACGTGATTACGTTGGAAAGGGGGGACCAGATGCCTTTTGAAGAGAAGCGGCTTTGTACGGTAGGAAGGAAGCCTGCCAGAGGGAACAATAAGGGAAGCATACTTCTACTTTAAACCTCATCTAGATGTAGCAGTTTAGAAACATTGAGCAGCTCGACCCTCTTGTCTCGAATCCCGTTGCTTGAACCTCAGTGCCTGGTAAAGCTTCCGCTGCAGCTTTCACTGAGCAATAGATTAAAAAACCGGCACTCGCAAGGGGATCTGTCCATCCAATACTATATTTGTCAAAAGGCATAACAGCAACAAACAAACGCTATTTGCTGTTATGCCTTTTTACAAATAAAGTATTGGATGGACGGATCCCCTTGCGAGTGCCGTTTTTTAAAATCTTTTCATCTAGATGTAATCCGCATCCAAACTT